AACAAGTAGCACTATCGGTGTACTACACCAGACTAGACGTTCGCGGTGCTACGGTTTATAACTTTGTTAAATTTCTTCTGATTTTAATTTGTAAGTAACATTTTATTATTTTTATTAATCATGAATTGCAAAAGGGCAAATGAAAAATAAGTAAGCGACTAGAATCACGACAGAACTGAAAAAAGAGATTATATGTTTTATTTATATGCATTTTGGATCCAACTTTATTGCCAATCCCTCCCCAGTCTACAATGTATAAATTTTTTGTTGTAAATTTACAATTAAAACATTTTTTAAAAATTAAATATAAATAAATGACTTACGATATTTACACAAACATTTTACAGTAGGTACTGTCTACAACAAATTGTAAATTTACAACAAAAAGTTTATACTTTGTAGACTGAAGAGAGATCAACAATAAAGTTGGATCTGAAATGCAAATAAATAAAACATATGGAAATTAAAATACTTCTGGGTAATTCTTGAACTCTTGTGAACAGTTGGATTAGAAGGAGATAACAATTTTTGTTTGTTTATTAGTCCACAACCCCTTTTAGATGGTTAGATAAATAAAAAAAATTGTTAATGCATTCTCAAATTTCTTAACAATAAAACAAATATATGAACTTGAATTACTGAAAATTATCTTAAAATTTTAAATTAATGAACTAGATAACTGTATATACTAAACATTGATGTTAATTATTATAATAAAAATAATTATAAAATAATTTAAAGAAATATTCAAATTTTATTAATAAAACAAATAATGATATCATATACACATTTATTACCTATTTTTCTTTTTCTATAGTTTTCGTCAACTGCTAACATAGCAATATAACCTCGTTTGCTGTGTTTTTTATGCATGTCCAATTTACAGACAATAGCACCAACACATTTATCATTATCCATTGCCTAAAAATGAAAAAAAAAAAAAAATGTATAATTATTCAATGCAACATTATAAGAAGAAAAATCTATATACTTAAATACCATTGAATATTAAAATTATATTGGCACATATTTTGCAAGGTTCATTTTTAACTGGTTTTTTATTGTATATATCCTTCATATTTCACTTGTAGTGTTAAAATAATTTTAATTCTATGTTTTACAGCATTAATAAATGTTTTATAATACAGTAAGACCCCGCTTAACATGGGGATACATTCCTAGATGACAAAGCTCTAAACAAAACAGTCATTTTAACAGAGTAAATAAGAAAAGGGGAACACGCAACCAAAAATAAACAGATTTCACTTTAATTTTGAGTTATTTTTATATTAATTTACATAATAATATATGTTAAATAACACAAACATATTCACACAGAAATATAAAGTTCAGTTTTTGTGATGAAAGTCCTGGCTTTTCTGAAATTTTGGTTTTTTGCAATAAAGTCGTGTAGTTTCATTTGTCGCTTTTTTTCTTTCTTTAATCAAATGTCAGTAGCAGAAGATTGCATCCAAAACGCCTTGTTTTGCTTTCACACTCCTTTCAAAATTTGGATCATTCGCTACAATTTGATCAATAATTTTGGTTATCATTACCAAACTTTTACTAGGGAAATCTGTAGAGAAATTCTTCAAGTTTTTCATTTTCAGAATCACTATTTTCCAGTTCTACACAAATTCCTTGTTCTTTCAGTTCTTGAAGGTTGTCGTTGGTAAGGCTTTCACCAGAAACCTGCAGTAACTCCTCAATATTCTGCTTGTCTACATCTCCTAGTCCTGCTGTATCAATTAGGTTGACAATTGGTTAACCTAACGATATAGCGATAGGCTCTTCTCGTTGAGAATTCTTGGATACCTCCAGCCATAACTTCTTTCAAACTCCGTTCGTACATTTATCGATTAATTTTTTCCAAGCAAAGTCGATATTGCATGTGGCATCCATGATGTTATATTTTTTCCAAAATTGCACAAAACAAACATAGATTTAAAGGAAGTATAACTCTATGACAAATTGCCACCTTTTGCTAATTGGTTCATATTCGTAAATAATTGTATTATATACGAATCAATGAAATGACGCAATAATTTGAATCAGCATAAATTTTGAGCTTTTTTTAGGCTTCGAGCAGACTGCGTTATTTTGAATCAGCATTAATCAAGGCAACATTAAGCAGGGTCTTAATATGTCATTTAGTTTATTAATACAGTAAGTTTATTTAATTTTATTGCATTTTATGAAAAATGTTTTTTTAGATTTAATAATAAAAAAATGAATTTTTATAATTGTCATCTATCATATTTCCACATATGATATTTAATATAATATGATAATATTGTCATCTATCATATTTCCATCTACAAGAGCATGCTCTTGTAGATGGGGCAAAATTAGCAGAATATACTGCAAAATATCCATTTTTTAAGAACTTTTATAATATTAAAAATCTTTTTTTATTTTGTCTTTTTATTTTCAATAATGATTATCAAAGAGATGTCAATGAATAGTTACTGTATCAGTACATTCACATTTAATTTATATTGACACAACAGTGCTGTGCTCCCATAAACCTACACATATAATGACATTCTCTTATATATGAATTATGCTTTTATAAGCAAAGCAGGACATAAGCTTCAAAACTACAAAAACAAAATTTTCACATATCAGATCATGCTCTTATTTTCATGGAAATATGGTAAGTCTCATTACTTTTATATCAAAATCTCATAAATAGGAAGGAGGTTTTTGATTATTTCTTATAGTTGAAATTTTTATATTGTTCAGGCATACCCAAGTCATTCTACCACAGTGGTTCCCAAAGTGGGCACTAGCGCCCCGTAAGCAGTGAGTAAATTTAGGTGGTCGAAAAGAGGCAAATGGGCAGCAGGGTAATGAATGGTAAAGATAGGCAAAGGTTGGGATCACTGACAGCCTTTCCCTTTCCTCTGTTAAACAGGTAAGAATAAAACATTGAGTTTAATGGTTTCCAGATGTTGAGAACAATGTACGGTAAGGACACAAAGTGTGAGGTTCATAGAAAAGTTTTCCTAAGATTATTTCCAAGCCTTTCTCTCACAACAAGGGAAAATGGGTTAGGGGCATTGGGTATAAACTTTATGAAACAAAGGGGACAGTGGATCAAAAAAGTTTGGGAATTACTGCTCTACCATGTTTTTATATAACATTAAAGTGCAACACCTATTTACCTACCAACTAATGATTTTAAATGAAATGAAAATGTTGATTATTTACCAAAACAAAAGAAGCTGATGTGAGAGAACTGAATAAGATGTAAGAAAAATAAATATATAAATTGTCAGACTTTTTTTTTTATTTAATGTTAAAAATATTGTCTAAAATAACTTTATAAGCAAATAGAAAACAAGTAAAAGAGAGTACATATTGGTGAGAGTATTAGGGTGCGACTATGCAGACGCGAATTTAGAACGAGCGAGAGGTTGCGAGCGATTTAGTTTTCGCAAAGGAAAATCGTGCACAAACAAGAAGCGAGAAATGACGCTAGCAAGAGCGAATTTCTAGTTTTCGCACATATCTGACAGGTTTTGATATTTATCGCGTCTCGCCTCTTCTCGCCACATATTCTCGCTTGCTCGAAAAATTCGCTCTCTCGCGTCTGCATAGTCGCACCCTTATGACACTCTCCTAGGAACATTCCAGGTGATGTCTAGATCTTTGTTTATATAAGAAGATTCTTGTACTTTGTATCTTATCTCCTTTTGTTTTTTGGTATGTGTACTTTATACAGCATATATTAAACCCTCTGTTCCAACCAAGCAGTTCCCTTTTTACTTTACTCCGCTGCCATACCCTGCATTTATTACAACGGTACAACAAAAAAATAAAAAAATAAAATGACATCTACAAACTGTCTAATTGGAACAAGCAGAAATTTCAATGTTATTACTTTCACAATTATTGTAAATATTGTATTGAATAAAATAATGATTTTGTTAAAATTGCATTACATGTCTGAACAAGTATTAAAGAAATATGAAAAATTTTTAATAAAAACTTTTGGAGAAAAAAAAACTGAATTTCTGCAATATTAATATTTTGCTGTTTGGGTTATTCTATATATTTACTGGCATTCAACAGCTAATATATAATCTTTAAAACTTTAGAAATCTGTATAAAATTTCTCTCTAAACAAAATCTTAATTATAAACTTCTGCTTAATGTAATATAGCTGTAGTTTCTGTCAAATATTTTATATATGTCAGAATATACAACGGATTTATATTTAACACTTTTAGATGTCTCTATGTCTAAAGATGACACATTCTAAAAATGATGACAGTGACAATAAACTTGGAGATTTTCAATTACCAGTGCTATTGACAATTGAATAAAAAAAAAAAAAAAAATCAAAAATTTTGAACTGGAGAATTTATTTTATCAAGAAATCACATTAAAGTTATTAAATCTAAAATTTATAAAATTTGAGTTTGCACCTTTTTTGCAATATAGATATTTTCTATGTTATTAAAAAATTGCAAACTCATTATAAATTTATCAACATTTATGAATTTAACTACATATGTTTGCTGTGTTTTAATAAAATTATCATCATTCAATATAATATTCAAATTTATATTATTCTTTCATTTAGTAATCTATTATATAAAACATCATGATGATAACAGAATTTAAGTTTTCTAAATTATATTATGATGATTCCTAGATTTAATAAGATAATAAAAGACATTCCTTTAAGCCAAATATTAATTTTTCTATAAAAGTTTATTGAAAACTTCCAAATCTCCATACTCACCTACATTTAAAAAAAAAATAAATAAAAATTATACTTTTAGTAAAAGTATGATCTGTTATAAATGCAAAATACAATATATATATAAATTACAGTTGTCCCTTGATAATCCGACAGGTATGGGACCAAAGGTGTGTCAGATTACCAAAAGTGTCCGGATTACCGAAAATAATTACATATTTCGCATTGTTTTGCTAGCAGTAACTTACAATATTCTCTACTCCAACTGTTCGAACAGAACTGCTCTCATAAAACACACGAAATGTGTGTCATCGTGTAAAAATTGGATGGGGAGATTCACATCACAACATGCTTCTGTGCAAGCAGACACGTAACGGGGATGGGTACCTTGACTGGAAGTGCGTCGGACTACTGAGCATGTCAGATTAAAAAACGTCGGACTATATAGGGACAACTGTATTTTGTTCCTACAACTTAACACTAAGTATAAAATAAATTGCAACAGATATATAAAAATTTATTCCATCACAATGTAATGCATTAATACAATACAAATCTCAATACAGTGATTATTGATAAAACAATAAATCCCTCTAAAATGATAAGAAATATAGTTCCCTGCACAATTTGTATTAGCCTAACATAAAACTTATCCCTATTGAACAATATCCTCTACTGCAATAGATCTGTTTAGTGATACTTTTTTCTTTACTGCACTTGTAAATACACAGTATTTTTCTTTCTCTACAACAATAATACAGCAAATTAAATTTTAATTTATCACTCGTTTTTGGAAACAAAATACAGTAATCTCTTAATACAGTGATACTACCACAATACTACTTGCAGTCAGTAAGCATCAGTACAGATGAAAGAGTGGTTGTCAGATTTAACATGTTTCTGATATTTTAGTACTTAAAAGCCTCATTTACATTTAGAATTAGTATAATTTGCAACACTAAGAAATCCCTGTATAATTTTTCAGGGAATTTTGTTATGTTAAATTCATTTAGCATAATACAGTTCTCTTAGAAAGTGTACAGGAACAAAGATCTAAGGTTGCAAATTACATATATTAAAATAATTACAAAACCATTCTCCTTAAAAAATTATACTTTAATTTAAACCAGTGTTTCTCAACCTCTAACGAATCGTCACCCCCTTCAATAAAACCGTTACGTAGTTCGCCCCTTCATTTCAAAATTCCGATGCCGAGGGCCAAGGCTAACGCCAAATTCGTACTGCATTGAATAGACTAGTGACTATATAATGTTATTTGTTTAATTATTGTACGATATAACAAAATATCTAATTATTCTTAATATAATGTTTTACTATATCACCCAGAAAATTGTTTTTCGCCCCCAAAATATAAATTGTTACTAATCACCTCCTCAACATGGAAAAATGCCCACATGGGGAGATATCACCCCCGTTGAGAAACACTGATTTAAACTAAAAGTAATTCTAAAGTCAGCTGAACAAAAAAGTAGATACCAGTCAGACTGAGCTGGAAGGGTCTATGCCATCTGAAAGTGATAGGAGACATGTGCAAGTTGACAGATGGATTTGATCTCTCCCTCAGCTGTTTTGTTTTTTGCATTTTTTTAAATTTTTTTACTATCTTTCTCATAAATAATTTTACTGTTTTAAGTTTTTTGTACAAATATGAGATTACAGTTATACCACGATCCATGTGTGAACTCCCACGTCTTCTTCAACCCCTTTCATCTGATAATCCTTTCCACTCAGACTGTTTCATGTCTACTCTTTTGCTGCATTGACTATAGTTTAGTGTTACTTTTCTTCGTTTTAGTTTTACGTAGTTCATTTTTGCTTATGAAGATTCAGATTTTGACTGATTTTGGATTTTGATATTTAACACACACATTTCATAGCATATTATTTCTAAGGTAATTTAAATATTGTATTAGAAGACACTAATAACACTATATATTTTTCTGTTCTAATATTACCTAACTTTGTAGAAATAGCCTTATTTTTTAGTCTGATAATATTAAATTAGAAAGGAGATACTTTTTTAAAAACTCACTATAACAATATTTTTTCTTGTTTCACTAAATACTGCTACAGAGAGATTTTATTGTAATTGAAAGAAGCTATTTGTATTTTTTAAACATTATTTATATTTGTATTTAAAAAATCCAGTATTTACAACACTTTTATAACTATTTGCTTATACACAAAATAATTTGCATAATAAATGTATTTTTCTGATCATAAATTTTTTCATTAAGAAATTTATGGGAACAAATTTGATGAAAGTGAACAGAAAAAGCTCATGAGTAATTTAAGTTTAGACTTTTGAGATTTAACAATAAAAAAAAAATTTAACAGGTTAATAATTACAAACTATTGAAAAATTATTATTAAACATATTTAACGTACTAAAAATATTATATTAATTGATTATTAATGATTTCAAATTTAAATAACAATATGGATTTCACCTACCAGGAAACAAAGTTTTGGCCAATTATGAATGAAATATCTATAAGTGTATATAGAATACGGCTCTGATAAGTCCTTTTGGATAAGTCGCATTATATCCGGCATCTGATTTTCAGATTCATAGCCAACGTATTTTATAAGTTCTTCGTTAGTGGCAGTATCAGAATTGTCACAGAGTCTTTTTTCAGTTTGATCACAGCAACGACATACACTAGAAGGACCATTTTCTAAATAAGAACATTTTTTGTCCGTATTAGTTTTACAGTTGCATATAGAGGATTTAACACTCTTGCACCTATTAGTAACTTCTCTGGCGATAACAGAATCTTCTACTTTCGCCTTCTCATTTTCACTAAAAGTAACAGAATGTTGTAACATTTCACCCACTTTATTTTTAGCTGCATCTTTATTCAAAGCAGCGCAATGATACAATTTACTGTCTGTATCACTCCAATTTTCATCCAGCTGACTTTTATGTATGCAAACAGTATGACAAGTTTCATAGAGAGATTTTCCATTTGAATTTTTACACAAATCATCAGAATTTTGTACAATCTTTTCACATGTACAATCTGGCCTAATGATTTCACAGTCACTTAAGCATTTCTTTACATTATCGGTAACACCTTTCTCCTCCTCTATTCCATTTAAATTATGGCAATTATAACCATTCAACAAACCTATATTAGTATTGGATAAATGCAATTTCTCTTTGAACTGATTTCTAACATCATTGATATCTGTTCTACTGGTAGACGTATTTGTAATACAATTAATTTCTCGACTGCAGTCCTTCTTAACATTTTGTGAATCCAATAATTGAACAGAATTCAAGCGATTCAATTCCAGATTAGATGAGCTAAGCCTATCGTTAGGGTTAGCTACGGCTATTCCGATTTCAGTTTCATCCATCGCTCGAAAATATCCACTTAAAGTAATTTAAGTCGGTGGCACATTTAACTTTCACGTAATTAACGTCATCTTTCCATTAATCTTTCTTACTATTATTTAATAATTAAATGAAATTACTAATAAATTCTTTCTGTTCTCTTTGCTTTCCTCATAATGATTTACAGCGACTCCCGACGGACAAAACTTTAATCGATATTAGCATGTGTTTCAAATCAACTGCGCCATCAACACTCCGTCGTACACTTCTATAGCTTTATTACAAAAAACAAATTTTATAATCATATAGTTTTCTCCAATAAAAAAATAACTCAAATATATTTTTGAATTTTCTATTTTTAAATTATTGATAATAATAAATTTAAAGATACCAGTAACTTAATTGACTTCGTATCATTTACTATTAGTTAATTAATTGTAGTTATTTTAAAATTCATTTAATAAAAATTTACTTTATTAAATTTGAATTTTATCAAACTTTTAGAAATATAAATTTATAGCAAATTAGACTATTATATATATATATTTTTTTTTTTTTTTTTTT